TTAGAGCCCAGAGAGCTGGTTAGCCGGGCTGCACCTTGGAAATCAGGAAGACACCTTAGCGATGTCTTCTCTGTACAAGGTTGGGCACCCCTGGTCTTGGCGGCCATCCTTGCCATTCTGCGAACTGCTTCCCAGGAAGTGTGTGTTCAATAAGTATTTGTGGCATGACTGACCGGAAGAAAATGAAGCCCTAAGTTGGTTGGGTGATTGGTGGCAGCTTGGTGGGATGAGAGAATTCAGCAGTTCTGATCTTGGGACTGCCACATATTCCCTGGAGAAAGTCTCTTCTCTGGGCCAGCGAGGCCCCTTGTGCCCACCTGAACAATGGAGCAGCAGAATGAGATTGTCTTAAATGAAGGCATTTCAAGGTCTATTCCCTGGGTAGAGAAAAGGCCAGGACAGGGCCAGGCTGTGGGGCTCGCAGGTGGGTACTCAGTCCATGACATGCCTCAGTGTACCTGCCTCTTCTTGGCCTCAGGAGTGGGCTTTGACAATAAGAGGCCTTCCTCTGCCTCCTCCTTCAACTCCATCAGCGCTGATGATCATCACTGAATATCCACAGGCTCCAGGGATCTCGGGTAGACCCAGGCCAGTCGGGCCAGAGAACTCCTTGTTTTTGCCTGCTTCAGAATTCAGGTACACAAGGTGAAGAGCACTGTGTGGTGGAGAAGGCACCACAACAGTTCCATGATTAGAAAAAGTGTTCTGAGCTCCACTGTGCAACTTAAATGTCAAGATTCCTTTCACCAGAGGAGATCCAATGACATTCTGGAAACTAAGTGTGAAATTCGATTCTGTCTCCCCAAAGAGATGCCATTATCTCTAGGGGGGCATTCTAATGAAGCCCCTTGGTGGGCAGAGGAGCCCTGGGCAGCAATTCCAGCAAAAAGATCTTCTGTCCCTTGCCTGCTTAGGCCGGAGACTTGGCAGCTAATTAGAAAGTGCCTTGCACCTCTATTTCTAAACTGAAAATGCAGATAACACCTTCCCATTCTTCACTAGATTTCTGTGAGGATAATTCATCAATACTCTATCAATTAATAATAATAATAATGATAATAATAATTAAAAACAATGGAAAGAACAATAGCTAGTATGTGCTGAGAATTTTCTGTGCCCAGCACTATTCTATGCACTCTATATACTCTTAGAGCAGTTGATGCAGAAGCTAGGAGGGTTGTGACTCTTTTACAGTCAAAGGCACCAAGGCGAGGAGAGGTTATAGTGTTTACCCAGGGCCACACAGCTGGTAGCAGAGTTGGATTTGAACCCAGCATCCAATACTTCTTACGTCAGGCATTGTGTTAGACGATTAAGATGTATAGGAGTTCATATTTGAGAGAAACAGGCATATGCACAAATAGTTAAGAAAAAAGGAAGGAAGGAAGGAAGGGAAATCACTTTTAACTGAGTAACCCCTTACATAAGTTCAAGGTGTTACTTTGCTTCTAAGGGGGCAGAAAAGCATGATGCCTGTCTAATCCCATCATAAGGGTCACAGTTGAGACCTCTGTAACAAGATAGCCAACAAGAGAAAAGCACTATACATTTATTTACCTACAATTTCAGGTGACAAAGAGGAATGAAGAAATGAAGACCCAAAGGTCCAGGGAAACCTGTCTGTTTTCATGCCTAGGTCCCATGAAGAATGGACCGCTGCATAGAAATTTGGTTGCACCAAAAGGGAGCATTGTGATGTAGTAGATCAGACAGGGTGATTTCTTTATGGTTGCATAAAGAGAAGGTTAGAGTAAGAGGTTAGATGACCTGCCTTGGGGAAGAGGAATTCTGGTTTCTGTGACTTCCTGGAGGGTGAGGAGTGAGAGACAGGGGCAGGACAGGACTGGAAAGTGGCTGCTTCTGACCTTTTCCTGTGTCCCTCAAAGTCCTCAGCATGGCAAACACCATACTTTGGGGTGTTGGTTTTTCCCCAACATTATTGTTTCATTAGTCTATATGATTTACATATGCAAATATACATATACACCCTATAAATTTTTTATCTGTTTGTACACGCGTGTGTGAGACAGATCTTATTAACATGGGATTGTTCAAAAACTTTCCCCTCCCCTCCTGGGCTGGTCAAAGTGAACTTTCTAACCCCTTCAGTCGCCCAGTCTCCCCATCCTTTCTTCCAGTGTCTGAGTTCAGGCCCGCCTGGCAGGCAAGTTCCTCTGCTCTAGTGGTGCAGCCACAGGCCCAGGGCTTAGGAGGGAGGAAACCAGGAGAAAACCTTAGCTGAAAGGTTAAGACAATTTTTATAATAATGACCTGGGAGGGAGGAGGAGAAAGGAAAGGAAGGGGCGGAGGAAAAGGAAAGTGAGGAGGAAGGAGGGGGAGAAAGAGAGGGTGAGGGTGGGGAGCGCTAGGGTGATCTGAGGGACAGGGCCCAGAAGGAAAGCCCTGCAGGCGGGGACAGCAGAGGCCTACCAGGGGCAGCTAAGGGAGTGCAGTGGGACAGCAGGAACAGGGCAAAGGACCTATGAGTAAAGCAGTGGAGTTGTCTGTGGGTCCCTTTACGTGCTCTTAGAGAGCCTTAGGATAAGAATGGGATTCACTCCTCCCTCCTGGGCTGTGGAATGTAAGGTGGGTGCCCCCCGGGTCCTTTCACAGCACCCTGTTCTCTCTTCACAGTGTGGCTGGCAGGGGAGGCTCTTGTTTGTCTTCACACTACACTGGGAAGTCCTGGCCACAGGGAAAGGGTGGGGCCCTGGCTCCTCGTGGCTTCTCCACAACCAGCAGTACCGCAGCCCTCCTGGCGCGGGTGTCCTCACCCACAGGGTAGGACCCACTGCCACTTTCTTCTGCCCAGATTCCCACCAGCCTGCTCCTGGGAAGCCCTTCCTCAGCTGCCTGGCTTCCAGCCTGAGTCTGGGTTCATGGTCCTTTCCTGCTTGTCACCCATGTCAGAGCACAGGGGGGAGGGGCTGTGCGCCGGGGCCTTATCAGGAAGGAAGACTGTGCTGCCTGGTCACGGACCTGGCACCTGTCATGGTGCCACTGGCCACTCACAGGACTAGGCTTGTACTCCACTGTGCCCGTGGCTCCTGGGGACTCCCACTCTGTTCTCCGTCCATCCCGATGGATCCCTCCACTCCCTCCTACTTGAAGGTGGCCTTGACCAGGAACTCCCACGGAGGGAGGAGAACAGCAAGAGAAGGGCTGCTGCCCCCGATTCCGCAATGGGATCCTGAACACACGGCACTCCTAGTGATCCCCAAGCTATCGTCTCTCTGTCAGGATAGCAGAAGAGGGGAATCTCACAGAAAGAATTCATGTTTTCCAAAATGGGAGGAGAAAGGCATTTCCCCAGCCGCACTAACTTCTCTGGGTTACAGTCAGGACAGGAGGCTGTGGCAGGAAGAGTTGACTGGATGCTGCAGGCCACCTGTGTCGGTGTGCCTCTGACACTGCCTGTCATCCAGTTAGGTGACAGCCAGGTACCCTGTCCCCCCCTTTACCCAAGGAAGGTAAAAGATCAAAGACCTGTGCCACGCCTGAGGGTCAGACCAGCACCACCTGCTCGGGGCATCCCGGCCTTGGTGAACTGTGAAGGGCTCAGCGCAGCGCCTGGCAGCCAGGAGGCGCTCAGCAAGTGATGGCTGTCCTGATTCCCTGGGCTGCCAGCACCATGACGGCCGCCTGGCACTGTGCTCATCTGGGATAACACCGATCATCTCTATGATCTCGGTCGGTATTTTCCGAGGGTCTGGTTCCTGTATTCCCAGCACCTACCACACCTCCTGGCACACGGGGAGCCTGCAGTGAATGCCTAACAGAGCCAAGGCTACAGAGCTAAGCGTGCCCTCCACTCCCCTTCCCCTTCTGTGGGCCTTGGCCCTGTGGCCAAAACCAAGGCTGGTCTCCTGGGGGAGAGGCACCTCCCTATAGATCTAGCCCTCCTGCCAGGGCCTGGCTCCCCTACCCTCCCTAGGCTGTCCTGGGACACACTCTCAGGCACCTAAAATTCCCAAGGACCTGGAGGAGCCAGTGCCTGAGCTGGGGCAATTCTGGACCATGGAATTAGGATTTTCTGCATAAAATATTAAATTTTACATTTAAAGCTATCTGTCACAGATAATTTGTCAGAAGGCCAAGACAGGTTTCCCCTGCGAGGGAGTCAAATTTTAGCTAAGACAGGACATGGGTGTAAGGCACAATCGAGTCACCCAGTGACTGGACACTAACACTCTCACCCAGAGACCCCAACACAGGCCCCATATCCATTCCAAGACGGATCCTTTTCCCCAGGCCCCTGGTCTGGAAAGGTCCGTGGGAGTCCCCATCCTGACAGGGACAAAGTGCTACTTCTGGATTGAACTCTCTGAGGCTGCTTCTCCTCTTCCCTTCGACCTCCTTCCCTTTCATTTGCAGTTGCCAGTAAGAGTTCAGTGTTACCGGGAAGGTAAGCGTTTGCAGTAAGAGGCTTTTCTACGCATACTCCACTCACCACTTCTCAGATGTCTGAAAACAACCTCCAAACCTTCCCCATTCTAGGCCACTGGCTTCCTTGGGGAAGGAAAGCCTCACATTTACCCAGGAGGGCCAGGAAACACATCCTTTGGTGTCAAGGAGAGGTCAATTTCAATGGCTGCCCCCAACCCCAACAAGGCATGAGAGGTTCTCCCAAGGAGGGGAAATGATGGCCAGGCAAGGTTTGTTTTGTTCAATATATATATTTTTTTCTGTTCCAGTTAATTGTGCCAAGCCCAGAACTGACACAGGGTTGCGGCAGCCCCACTTGAGGACAGACCCCAGCCCTTTCTCTCTGCAGCACATGCCCTGGGATTCCGCACTGTGGAGACCGCTTGTCAGGGAAGCCCTGCATTTGCCAGGCAGGTTCCCAGAATGGCTTAGGTTGTGACTGCCACTATACAGTGTCCACACAGAGCACGGCCTCTTCTGCTTCCTTTAAGCAGACTGGCATTATCAGGAGGAGGTGCCAGGGCCAGAGACAGGCCCTCTCCTCACTGCACCCTTGGGCTCAGGCACATGCCTACCTTTTTCTCCTTGTCACCATATTCGACGCCCAAAGTGTCCATGGCCCGGACGATGGCTGCCAGCGACTGGATGGTGTTGCTGTAGACAACAGGCTTGTACTGCTTCACGTCCTCCCCAGAGAAGCCATCTTCATGGATGATCCTGCAGAAAAACCACACACAGCACACCTGATCACACACTGTCCTCACGCCATGCAGAGGGCGTCGGGCATGGGAAGCCCCGTCCACACCCTGGTTTAGTGGGGTGAGGGCTGAATCCTACTGGGATGATGAGTTATTGAGTTGCTGCATTAATGCCACAAAATATGAAGAAAAAAATCTTAATTACTGAAAAACAGAATATTGAAAAAAACCCTCATGTACAGTGAAAGAGGTTTCTAGTACCTGAGAGCACTTAGAAGAGGAAAGCAAACACTAAGTGCTCAATACATGTTAGTTATTGGTATTTTAAGCAAAGCTTAGGATCTTAAGACAGGTATGCACTCAGACATACTGTGGAAAATCTCTGCAGGGGTCTGTAAATGAAGGACCCAGTTTTTCTTTCAGGGGAAACTCCCAGTGCTTTTGACCAAGGCAGGATGACCCACTAAGTCACCAAATAACCCATGGGGACATCCACAGGAGGCGCTCCCTGCTCCTCCACCCTGGTCAGGGCTCTAATGGCCCAGTCAACATTACTCTGTAACAGTGACTGACACGGAGCCCACGAAGGGGACATCACAGTTCTCAGACACATGACGTTCCCTGGGGGCCACTCAATACGCGCTTGCTGCTGACAAGGATCTGGACAGGACCGAAAGCTGGAAAGAGGAAGTCATTCCGAAACAGCACGAGTGCTCTTCCAATTGAAGCAAAGGAGAAAGAATAAATGGATTTTAAGGCTAACTGCTGGGACCTGTGTCCATCAGTGGGCTGTGTGGACTCTTCTTTGTGGATCAAGGCTGAATGCTGTGGTGACATGTGCACATGCCAACCTAAGGGCCCAGCCCTCCCCTCCGCCCCTTTCCATCCCTCCATTACCTTTGGTGCAGAAATACCATCCTTTAAACCATCCTTTTTAAAACAGCTTTATGGAGATACAATTCACATACCATGTGACCCATCCATCTGAAGTATTCAATGCAACATTTTAATTTATTCACAAGTCAGGGCCACCATCACTGCAATCGAATTTTGGAACACTTTTGTTGGCCACCGAAGTAACCCTCAGTAATCACTCCTCAACCCCCTCCCAATCCTCAGCCAATGCTAATCTATGCTGTTTCTATAAATTTGTCTACTCTAGACAGTTACTGTAAACTGAACCACACAGTTATGGGGTTGTTTGTGAGTGGTTCTTTCATTCACAGCACTGTTTTCAAGATTTACCCATGTTGCACATGTTCACATGGTTCATTTGTTATCCCTGAATAATATTCCTTTGTATGGAAATACACTTTTTCTGTATCCAGTCACCAATTGATACACACTCATGATTCCTGTTGTAAAATCAGACTTGGTGATGGGTTGTGGGTTTTCATCCTGAGTTTCTCTAAGAAGCAGACCAGAAATGACCCTAAAGCCTTTCTTTTTTTTGGGGGGGGGGTACTGGGGATTGAACTCAGGGGCCCTCGACCACTTAGCCATCCCCAGTCCTATTTTGTATTTTATTTAGAGACAGCGTCTCACTGAGTTGCTTAGTGCCTCGCTTTTGCTGAGGCTGGCTTTGAATTTGCAATCCTCCTGCCTCAGCCTTCTAAGCCACTGGGATTATAGGAATGTACCACTGCAACTGGCCCTAAAGCCGTTCATTTGATTAGCTCTAAATTGATTTTTTCGAAGGCCTCCTGAGTGTATATGACCCATCCAGCCCACAGGTGCCCTATCCTGAGAGACCTCACAGGGAACTGCTAGCTCCCACGGTACACAAATGGGAAACTGGACAGAACATTCGAAACCAGAGAATAGGCAGTGTGGGGCTGTGATCCCCCTGAGTCCTGCAATTGCTGGGAGGCGTCTACCGGTCACAGCACGGGGAGGGAGCAGAAGTACAGCAGGGCAGCCCTCTGAGCCACAGAGAGAGCTAGAGAGAAAAATGCTGAGGGAAAGAGCCCAGGGCAGCTGTGTGGGCCTTGCATCTGGCTGGTGGGTGAGGCGACAGCTGGGCGGGGAGAATAGCCAAGGGAAGGACCAGCCTTGGAGCTCACACGGGCTGAACACTTGAGCACTCCCTGGGGCTGGGGGATGCATGGGTTCTGGGACAGTCCTTGCAGAAAGCCTTGATGTTCAGCAGACACCCCGGAAGGCTCATGCCATGGTAAGAGTCTCCCCGAGACCTGTCCTGCCAGTGCTAGAAAACAAGCCTTGAAAAAATCACAAGTAACTTAACCGCCTGATGGAACAAGGCCACTGCTCCGTGAACGAGGATGACAAAATCCAACACTAAGAGAGTCACGATATCACCATCCAATAAAACATTCCTGGATACACAAAGCAGCAGGAAAGTGTGGCCCATAATGAGAAGAATTAATCAGAAGTGGCAGAGGTGAGGAAATGGGCAAGAATGTAAAGATATGTATTTAAAAATATTTTCAAGGAAATTTTCTTAAAAGAAATCATGAATGTAATCAGGAGAGAAATGGAAGACACAGAAATTAAAATAAATAGCTGAGATAAAAATTTCACTGGATGAGATGAACAGATCAGACACACAGCAGACCAGTGAACTTGAAGACAGCAACGGAAATTATTCCAACAGAGGCAGAGGAGAAAAGGGCTGCCCGTGTTAGTTCATAACGAACGTAAACCCTATGTAACAGGAGGGACGTACACTGTGCAGAGACTCCCACGTGAAAGACGTGGCGTGTGATCTGAGAGCACAGTGTGACACCTTGGTCATATATCATGGACTCCAGAGCAACATGGACAAGAAGGGCAACAGTCACTCGACTCCCCGAAGAGGATGGGCTGACCTGAGCAGCGCTGGGGACGCGCTTCCAGAGCTGCTGGACCAGCTGGCCTTGCCCACATCCCAGGCCCCTGGCTGCCAACAGAATTTCCTTCCACCTGGGTTGGGCTCATCGTTTTTTCTCACTTGGTTTCATTGATCTCGACATTGGCCGAGTGAGGAAGGAAGGGTGGGTGTTTATTAGGCTCATTTGGCTGAAGACGAAACTGAGGTGAGAGAGTAACAGCCCCATGTCCCTCAGCAGGTTAGTGTCAGAGCCAGGAATGCAGCCCAGGTGTCCAAGTCCGTGGTCCTTTACCACACCTTAAACCACGCCCTGGACGAGGCAGAACACTGTCCATCAGGTGTCAGATGGTGGCTCATTTGTGGTTTGCAAAAATGATGCAATTTGGGAAAAACTCAAACTCATGCTCAAGTCATGATTATGAGTCTTGCAATTTGTTCAAGCTGTAGTTTACAACCGGGCTTGCTGTCTCAGGGCAATTTTATACCCCTCACCCCCAACTATAAAGTACCAAGCACTCACTCAACACCAAAAAACCTGGACGGTCCAGGGCGATGTAAGGAGTACTCTTCGTAATCCCCCCACTTGGCAGAAGACATGGACCTTTTAATGTAAGGCCTTCCACAGCATTTTTCCATGTCACATTTCCTCTCTTTTCTCCCCAGCTCTGATCCCAGGCAGATCTCCTTCACAGTATCAATATGGCCCCTTTATTTTCTGTCTCCCCATGTCATTCCAGAGAGGCACAGCAGAGGGGTGGTTACAGCTTGGGCCACAGACAGGCCTGAGCCAACGCTGGCTCTCCCAGTGATGAGCTGTGTGTCCCCAGGGAAAGCTCTGGCCTCTCCAGCCTTGCTGTCCTCATCTGCAGGAAGGTGTCGTGAGAAATGGCTCATCGGTACATGACAGGCAGCAGAGACTAGTAATAGTGTTCTCATTCCAAAGACAAACCCTCCAAAGACAATCTCCTTCATTTGTGGTTTACGACTGGCAGAATTCCACCTGCAGCCCGTGTCAGAGGGTCACCCTCTGTGCTGAGCGCTTCACATGCTACATCTCATCTCTTGTTCAAAACAATCCTGGGGCATAAAAATCACTGTTGCCTCTGACAGATCAGGAAGCCGAGGTCAAGGAGGTCCTGCCACTTAGCTGAGATCACACAGCTGGTCAGTGGCAGAGCAGCCCCTGAGGTCCTACTTGTGGCAGGCAGGGGCTGAGAGGCAGGGCTTCTTCCTCCGCCCTGGGCCCCTCTTATCCACACTGCAATTGAAAGGTGGCCTCTGGGTGGGGTTGGAGACACACCTCAGAGGAGTTCAGTGTCATGGGATAGCCCAGGTCTGAAGCTGGAGGTGACAGAGGCCTGGACTTAGAAACCATCTCCGTGAGACGCCTTAACAACAGTCAGTGATGCTGAGCGAAACAGCACCTGATCAAGTCCCAGAGACATGAGCTGAGCCCCTGGATCCAACCACTCCTGAAGCCAATCTGTCTCTATACTTTTAAGTGATATGAGCCAAAATAACTTCCTCTTATTTTTGTGTAAGCTAATGTGATTTGCATTTCTATCACTCACAACCAATAGTCATGATTAAAATGTTTTGTAACTTGATAACAATAAATTATCTCCCAGTAGACTTATTGATTTTATTTTATCTTTACCACCAGCCTGTCACCCTCTGCTCCCTCTTCCCATGTTACCTGGCACAGGTCTGGGCTCTCCGCGGAGCTTGGGGCAGGTGGGACATAATGATATAAGTCAGGTGTACATAAAAGGAGGCGGACAAGGTGTGTGCCTGTGTGCGCTGAGGCGGGGGCCACCATATTTCTGATGCCAGCAGAATCAGGGTTTCAAAGTGAGGCCTTGCTCGCTCTGCACTGCTGTGCTCCCACAGCTCAGGGGCTTCGAGTGGTGTCCCAGTCCCCCAAGCCAGAACCACGGGGAGTGGGAGGGCTGACCACCAGGGGCTGCCGGCAGCCCTGAGAACTCCACTTTGGACAAAAGCTGAGTTGGACTCTGCAAATCGGATGGAGGCTGGGAGGAGATCTCAAGTGGAGGTGTGGGGGTGGGGGTGGCAGCCACGCCCCTGGAGCCAGGCAGGGGTGGAGGGACACCTCCCCCACCCACTCCACCCCTCTTTGCTGCCTTGGGGACCCTGCAGGAGGCCCAGACTTGGGCTTCCTCTGCTCTGCA